AACAAACTTTGTAAACACTCACTAAAAGATGTTTCATGCTTAATATCTTAACTCTAGCTATTTGGGTTTTTTCAAAGAAGATTTTTTAAGTTTTTGCTATACACATATAAGGAAAATCAATGACCCCCGGAACGGTGCCAATTTTGACCCCAGGGCTTTTATTTGAACAAACTTGGTAGACACCTATTAGAACATGTTTGATGCTAAATATCTTAGCCATAGCTCTTTGAGTTCTTTAAAAGAAGATTTTTTAAGTTTTTACTATATGCATATAGGGAAAATCAATGATCCCCCCTGGCGGGGCCAATTTTGACCCCAGGGCTTTTATCTGAACAAACTTGGTAGACACTTATTAGAACATGTTTCATGCTAAATATCTTAGCTTTAACTCTTTTGGTTCTTTAAAAAAAGATTTTTTAAGTTTTTACTATATGCATATAGGGAAAATCAATGACCCCCTGGGGTGGGGCCAATTTTGACCCCAGGGCTTTTATTTTAACAAACTTGGTAGACACCTATTAGAACATGTTTGATGCTCAATATCTTAGCCATAGCTCTTTGAGTTCTTAAAAAGAAGATTTTTTTAGTTTTTACTATATGCATATAGGGAAAATCAATGACCATAAAGGGAAAATCAATGACCCCCCGGGGCGGGGCCAATTTTGACCCCAGGGCTTTTATTTAAACAAACTTGGTAGACACCTATTAGAACATGTTTCATGCTAAAAATCTTAGCTTTAACTCTTTTGGTTCTTTAAAAGGAGATTTTTTAAGTTTTTACTATATGCATATAGGGAAAATCAATGACCCCCCTGGGGCGGGGCCAATTTTGACCCCAGGGCTTTTATTTGAACAAACTTGGTAGACACCTATTAGAACATGTTTGATGCTAAATATCTTAGCCATAGCTCTTTGAGTTCTTTAAAAGAAGATTTTTTAAGTTTTTACTATATGCATATAGGGAAAATCAATGACCCCCCGGGGCAGGGCCAATTTTGACCCCAGGGCTTTTATTTGAACAAACTTGGTAGACACCCATTAGAACATGTTTCATGCTAAATATCTTAGCTCTAGCTCTTTTGGTTCTTTAAAAGAAGATTTTTTAAGTTTTTACTATATGTATATAGGGAAAATCAATGACCCCCTGGGGCGGGGCCAATTTTTACCCCAGGGCTTTTATTTGAACAAACTTGGTAGACACTCACTAGAAGATGTTTCATGCCAAATATCTAAGCTCTAGCTCTTATGGTTTTTTAAAAGAAGATATTTTAAGTTTTTTCTTTCGGTTGCCATGGCAACCAGAGTTCTGTATGGAATTAAATTCTTTGAACAATTTTTAAAGGTGACCACCAAAGGAACATTCCTGTGAAGTTTGGATGAAATTGGCTTAGTGGTTTATGACGAGATGTCATTTAAAGTAAAAGTTTACGGACGGACGGACGGACGCCGGACGAAAAGCGATCACAAAAGCTCACCCTGTCACTTTGTGACAGGTGAGCTAAAAAAGAAAAAATAAGAAAAACAACAAAGAACACACAACATCAATTAAAAAAAATGTTAGAAAAAAGGTTAAAAAGAAATCTAAAACAAATATTTTAACATTTATCAACACATACAAAAAAAATCAAACAAAAACAACTAAAAAATCCAAATAAAATTATGAGAGTTTACTATCTTACAAGATTATTTTGTAAAAAATTATCATCATCTTAGTGCAGTAAAGGGTTAACTTCCAAAATAATTAAATAGGAGTTAACCTGTTACTGCACTGAGGTGACAATCTGTCAGTACTATCAATAATTCAATGTTTAACTATTTATCCCCCTGAAACCTACTTAAAGTAATGTGCAGGCTAGCCTGGCTCTTAATGTTCCAGCAGGTGAAGGATTCAATCATTTAAAATATAAATATTAAAATCTGGACTTAAATCAGCAACAATTCATTTTATTAGCTTATTGACTTCACTTAACTCCACAATTTGTTTTGCTTTGTAAAGGTCTTTTAGTGAAATTTTACACCTTAAGCTGGTTATGATGGATATTTTATATCTTCACCCTCAGTTTTTATGTTTTGTCTTCTTGTACATGTTTTTAAAGCAAGTGAGCATATTTATAATGTGTTTACTGTAATGGAAGACTAAATCTGTTCAAATGAAACTATAATCTACACTGAATAAAAAAAAACAAAAAACTAGAAATGTGTCATCATGCCACGGATGCCCCCGCATGCAGCCAAAATTTCAGATGGTGCTTTAATTATTTTTTTCATTTTAAGTTCAAAGCCCTTAAAACTTTTCAATGTTAACACAAACTATTTCCATACAATGTTCAAAGCACTGAAATTATTCAGTCTTAACCTTTTAGAAATAGCATATTGCATATTTGTAGCCAAAATAATGGCTAAAAGAATGAATGGTGAAACTGAAAGTTCAAAATTTTTCCAACATTCAGGAAAGATAAGTTTGTCTAAAATCATTGAACCATGACCAAATTCCAACTTAAACTGCTTATTCCTAAGATGTATCTATATTATTTTCAAAGTGAAAGGGACATAACTCTGCCAAAAAACATCAAACCATGACCAAATTCCAACTTGACCTGCCCATTCCTTTGACATATCCATATGTCAAATTAAAGTTGAATATGTGACACTGTTGGGTAGATAAGGAACAGAAACTGTCAATTTCATATTATTTTCAAAGTGAAAGGGGCATTACTCTACCAAAAATCATTGAACCATGACCAAATTTGAACTTGACCTGGGCATTCCAAAAACATATCCATATGTCAAATTTGAGTTGAATGTGTTGTACCATTGGGGAGATAATAAACGGAAACTTAAAATTTCATATTACTTTCAAAGTGAAAGGGGCATAACTCTGCCAAAAATCATTGAACCATGACCAAATTTGAACTTGACCTGCGCATTCCTTTGACGCATCCATATGTCACGTTTGAGTTGAATGTGTTGTACCTTGAGGGAGATAATGAACGGAAACTGAAAATTTCATATTATTTTCAAAGTAAAAGGGGCATAACTCTCCCAAAAATCATCGAACCATGACCAAATTCCAACTTGACCTGTATTTTTTCATGACATATCAATATGTCAAGTTTGAGTTGATTGTGTTGTACCATTGGGGAGATAATGAACGGAAACTGAAAATTTCATATTATTTTCAAAGTAAAAGGGGCATAACTCTGCCAAAAATTATCGAACCATAACCAAATTCGAACTTGACCTGTATTTTCTCATGACATATCCATATGTCAAGTTTGAATTGAATGTGTCCAACCGTTCTTAAGATAATGAATGGAAACTGAAATTTCATATTATTTTCAAAGTAAAAGGGGCATAACTCTGCCAAAAATCATCGAACCATGACCAAATTCGAACTTGACCTGTATTTTCTCATGATATATCCATATGTCAAATTTGAGTTGAATATGTCTAACCGTTCTTAAGATAATGAACGGAAACTGATGATGACAGAATGACGGAAGGACGGAAGGACGGAATGACGGAACAGGGTAACACTATATGCCCCGGCCATTACATGGCAGGGGCATAAAAAACAATAACTAGAGCTGCCACAGAAGCAACAAATAGACCCACTTGATCTCTATCACACTGTGTATTATGTTGAACAATTACTCGTATTTATCATTAGATTTTACAGAAAACATTTGAGTTAATTTTGAGAAAAACATTGAAAAAGAATAAAATTTATAGTGCAGACAAAAAATGTTTGCATTTTGACCTTCAAGGGTGACCTTAACCTTAAGCCTGCACAGTAAAAGCATGGGCTTGACATTGCCTTGTTGAGGTGAGCCAAGTTTGAAGAAAACCCTTCAAGGGGTAGAGGATTTATGCAGCAAACACAAAATTGTTTGATATTTGACCTTCCGTCTTCAAGGGTGACACCTTGACATTGTGCTGGCACAGCATGGACCGACCAAATTGGCAGTGATTTGGGGGAGGGAGGGGGGAGGGTAAAACAACATGTAAGTCCATGCGAAGTTGCCAATATTGTACCACAACAGTGCTGAACTTTAAAAAGCAATAGGCAATCATCTAAATGTATAACATTTGTCACCCCACTTTAATCAACCAAAGCATTAAAAAAATTCTGGACAAATGGAAATCTCTGGATGGCGATGAAACAAAAAAAATAAAAGATGAAATTTGCAGACTTAATTTGATTGAGATTGTTCATGAGATATTATAAAAGTGCATTAATCTCTCAGGCTAAAGCAGTAGCCAATCGTCAACACTTAAAAGTATTGGAATTAAAAATTCTTAAGGACCAGAAAAATATAACAACACTAACTGTAAACCGAGGTTAACAATTACATGCATTTACAAGGGCATGACCCTTAACCAAGAATACATCTTTAATTGTTCATCTTTATCAATATCCTTTACCCAGGAATTATTCTAGGCTACCCTACTAAAACGTATCCCCTAAATAATACTCTATAAAATGTGATAAAGCATAATAAGCCATGCATACATCCTAAGCAGTTTTCTCTTTGACAAAAAGAAATTAATCAAAACAAAATGTTCATCTTCTGCTAAATAAGTATGTGTAATCAAGTAAAAACAATTTATAAGAAAAAGCAAGATTCAATATTTTTACTGAATTACTCTCAGTCATTTACAGACAACAGAATCTAGTTTAAATTCAGAATTTAGTTTACATTCAGTATTTAGTTTAAATTCACAAGCGGTTATCTGTTTTGAACCAAATAAAATGAGTCTACTAAAGTAGGAAACAGTTATTCATTTCTTCATCATATAAAGTTGTAGTTTCATTATATGTCACATAATGCTATTTTAAACAAAATATTGTTAAGAATGATAAAGAAATCAACATAAGAGTTAAGATAAAGCAAACTGTTTAAGCACGTATCATAGATTACAATAATTCAACTTAAAAATAAATAAAACAGTGCTATACCACAGCTGAGTATATGAGTGAATGCCACATTAAAGCTTACCATTCGCATAATTGAGTTGGGACAAGGTCATGTTCCACATGGCATTTTTGCCACCTAGTACGAGAATAAGTGATGTATTAAATCATTTTTATATCTGGTCGACACTTGCTCAGATAAATGGCGGATCTTCAACAATAACTGTCATAATGAAACATTTCTGTAACACCATTATAAACTCCCAGATGTTGCTTTGACACAGTTGAAACTCAGAAATATCTATATACTTATAGCCTGTTATCTCAAAACAATCATTTTCTTCGATGCAATCGAACTGAAACCCTAGCAAAGTGCAGACACAAAACAAATATCTGAGATAACAGTCATATAAATCAAGGTGCTAAGAGAAACGGTTAGTACCAGTATGTAAGATGAGAAAAACATCAGGAAGGACAAAACTGGCAACTCTAGGGTCAATCAAAAGTATTCTGAGAAGCATAATTAATTGGAATTAACTGTTCAGTCAGTAAACTGTTCTTTTAAAGTACAACCTGAAACTTCAGAAAGTACTTAAAATAACCTTATTTTGCCTACAAAATCACCTTAAAAATTGATCCATACAGTACAATTGAGGCATTGTTTCATCAAATTGTTTTTTGTTGTTTTTTTTAATTGTACAATTGGTAAAGTTTATATAGGTTTTGTTTGAATAGTTAATATATAAACTGAGGTAAAACTATCATTTCATATATATAACTGTACATAACAAGGTAGTGGCACATTCAATATTTATGCATGCACTTCTCAATATTATTGTTTTTCAACATGCAAACATCGCATTATTATATCAGGAAATGTCTTCTATTTAAGTATTGAGTCTCACTTAAAATGTCAAGGTCATATGATATTTCAGCCTATCTGATTGCAAACAACCAAAAGGGCTTTTCAGTACAGGTAACGGGGCAGAACCATCAATCTTCAAATAAAAGCCAGAGTTTACATACAAATGCTATCTCTTGCTGGATCAAAAATGATTGAAAGTCAGCAATTTTTACCACTTTTGCCATGGAGGCGCCTATGATATTATTTGCCTATATTTACATAATGCATCATGAGAATTATGAGACGGAACTTACTGCAAGTACTTAATGACTTTCTGGTAAAAATAATTCATTTGCTTATAAATGTGTTGCCTATATGATAATAAAGCATTTATCTTTGAATAAAGAGCATATCTAAATGATTTCTATTCTTTATACACATTGTATACTATGTATACTAGTATATGTAGCAATTCCTTCAATATTCCATCACTAAATTTGCTGCAAACAATGACAAACTTCGTCACAAGCTTCGTCACATACTGACTGAAAATCAAATTATGAGCAACTCAACAAACTTACCTTGTACACGGTTATGCAACTTAATTTTAAACCTACCTACCAACCACTTCCTCTAATTATGTAGACCAGTTCAACTGTAGAGATTATTCTATAGTATGATATATTGGGTAGAAAAACTTACCATTGGCAGGTGGTAACCTGTTACTGATGGTACCATCTGGAGACTGGTAACTGATCATGTCATGTTTCACAGGTGACACTGTATCTGTCTGTGTATTTGTACCCATATTACTGGTTTGCTGAAAAATCAACAAAAGTCAGTGATAGATCTGGCTAAATTAAATCATAACACCACTCTCATTAGGTAATCCTTGTATGTAAAGAGACTGCAAGTTTACTTTTAAGTTTCATGAATTAACAAGTCAATGCTTATTAGTATGCAAAGAGCGGTCTGTAAGGCAGCTTGCTCAACTTTTGTCAGTGCTTGGAAGCTAGGAGAGGGGCATGACTCTGTAAAAAGAAACTTAAGAAGTATTGAACTTATGCCCATCATGTTAGATATTCACAGAGAACAAGAGTGTAAAGTTTCAATAGTTTTGGAGGCACCAACTTGCATGCAAAACCTGAACAAAAATTTGACTGCCAAACCAATGTCAGGGTGAGTTCAACAGCTATCCCTTTCCTTCTGATAGTTGAGCATATATATCAACAAAATCATTAATTTTAACAAGAAAAGAAAAATATCCCGTAGCCTATCCATAATAGAAATATCATGTATGATTAAAAATGTGGTCATTTAGAACAGATGTTGACCAATTGAGTATATCATTATTAAAATTAATGTTTACAACAATGTATTCAATAAAATATCGGTCACTAAAGACCATTACAATGTATTTAACTCTTTTTTTTATGTATTTTAATGTATTACTTAAGAAGAGGAAAGTATTAACAGCTTATTTTGCCTCTGCAAAACAGTTTCCACGTAACGATCATTAAAACATTATGCAAATATCTTCCTGTCTGAATTATTCCCTACTTCATTCTGTCTGGGCATCCAGTTAAAACTGTTATGTACAAAAACATATGATAACAACTTAATTCTGATAGATGCCTCTGGGAATCACTATTGACGTTTTATCTTCACCATCGTTCAATACTAATAAACACTGGATATGTTATCATACTTTATTGCATGTAAAATGTAAATGCTGAATATTACTGAATATTACAATAGCAGACAATAGCAGACAAATTCACATACTTTGATATAATCTTTCATAATTAAAAATGATAAAGCCACAAGGAAATGAGGGTTTCATGTTTGAGAAATCACACAATAAAGTCATGTTTTGTCTTGGTGGGATATTATAAAGTAATACATAAAGAAACAAATCAATTCCAGCGAGACAATTTTTTTACGGTCATAATGTAAGTTCATGTAGGATCTATTTTCTAGCATGAACAAACTGGAATCATACGGTGTGCCATAACTTTTATTTTGTACACATTAACCGACTGAAAATGTTTTTTAATCTTTGACTGCTTAATTTGAGCCATTATCATGCAGCAATGCTGGAACCAAATCAGTATAGATCCAGGTCAGACTGCACATTCTTGCATATCAGACTGGCGTTTCCGTTAGTTTTACCCATGCCGGAAATTTCATCTGGCATGGGGGGTTCCAGATGAGTCGCGTGCTGTACAATGGCACGATAAAGATGACGTCATTTTACCCTTATGAATGATTTTGTAATTCATACGCTGTTGAATGAAAGTAGTTACGGTTGTAATGATATAAATTTTCATTGAAAATAAAGATAAAGAATTTAAAATATAATGGAATATGGTAGAATATGCAAGAAAAAATATCTGACATATGTTTGCGGTTCGGATCGGAATATCCGTCCCTCGGTCACCCGCCCATGGGCGGTAACTCGGCAAGCCTCGTTACCGCCCAATGGGCGGGTCACCTCCGGACGGATATTCCGATCCGAACCGCAAAATATGACAGATATTATTATTCTGTGCAACTTGACCAAGCTCTTATACTTTTGGCTATTCAGTTTTAGCATTGCAATCATCCTGAAACTGACAATAAATATTTCAAAATTCATAGCAAAAAGAATGGCAATGAACACCAAGCCTGCTGGCAGCAACTGATTCTGCCAAACATACCAGGGCAGACCAAGATCAGCTTGCACTTCCATTTCACTTTGTATTTTGAAAATTTCCATAAAAATGATGAATGGTTGTCCGGAATGAAAGATTGACAAGTCTTTTAAAGATATATTTAGGACAAAAAGTGATTTTCTCCACCAATCGACAACAAAGTGACAAAATCAAAAATTATGAATTTCAAAATTATGCCCCTTGTCTTACAACCGCCTCTTGTCCATGATAACTACAATCATTCCAAGTTACATGTTGATATCGCTACCATTAAAATTGTTTGGGCTACATTAAAGTTTATGTAAGACCACAATGACTACGTGGAGATCATAATAGCTTGCCTTTTTCAGACAGACAAATTAAAATAGACCATTTATTGCAACACTGTCTTACATATTTTCCTAGCAGAATGAGACATTGTGATTAGAGTGCTGTGTCACATCAAGTTATAAGTCTATTTGGTATGAATATTGTAATAATGCACGGCACTACATGTGACTGTAGGACATATATTACTTATGAAAGATGACATTAATAATTAAGTATACATTCATTTTTCTACCTATGCATGTCCTGTTGTTGTTGTTGTTGTTGTTGTTTTCTATTTCAGAAGGCCACATTGGAAATAAGATATATATGATTGTTATTGTATGTTCTTAATGTGTAACCTTCTTTAAATAAAGATATTATTATTATTAATAATAATCATCATCCTATTATAAAGCTGACCTCTGAGGGATTACTGTCACTTTAATTATGTATAATATTTATATATTAATAGGATTACATTAATATCTGACTAAAGCTCCAACAGTAACAATAGCCATATAATCCTATTCTACAAAATCTCTAATAACAACATTACAATATTTATGAAACATTGATTCTAGAAAATACTTTGCAACTCAGACAGTAGATTTTTTTTTGGTTTTGTTTTACATTGCACCAACACATTAAAGGTCATATGGGAACTTTCTAGCTTTACTGGTGGAGGAAGACCTCAGGTGTCCCTTTGTGCATTATTTCAGGCAAGAGCAGACATCCGAGTAGAACCAGACGATCAACCTAGTCAGACAGCTTTCTCACAATAAGTAGTTCTAGAGTCGAATTTGTTGGTCATGATGACATTGTGAAGCCCAACAAAGATTTATCACTCCATCTGGTTTATGATGTCATTCTCTCTTAGTATAACAATAACTTAAACATTTATAATTTTAGTTTGGTTGCAATGAAAGTTAAGAGCTTATATGAACCATTCTCAAGTAACTAACCAATAATGGTGTCATATGAAGAATCATGGTTATAGCCCAAATATGGCTTGAACCCTAGATCGAGATTGGATCAAGAGACACCTTAACCACTAGGCAATCTTAGTATTTTGGTACCAACAGTTTTACTCTAAACTGTCATCAATAAAAAAAATGTTAAAACACACACCTTTTGTTTAGTGACTGTGGTTGAACCATAATAATCTCTTTTAACCGAGCTATCTTTACTAACCGGGTGAACTTGTGAGTTGTCTGCAACTATTAATCCTGTTCTATCAATCAAACTGAAATAATACAAGCATTAATATTTGAATTATTTCAATAGATATAGGCACTGAATTATATCTTAAAATTTATGTTATACTGAATATATGAAATGTGTCAATAAAAGACAGATGCTGCAACATTCCTGTTTTCTCTCTCAAGAAGGTTAACAAAATCATTTATGGAGGAATAGCAAGTCAGCAAGTCAGAATAGTAAGAGCAACACACAAACCTGTATGCTGCATAACCCCCCACCTCCATCGTGCATACTTATAAACAAATGAGCCGTGTCATGACAAAACCAACATAATGTGTTTGCGACCAGCATGGATTCCGACCAGCCTAGTCTGATCAGGATCCATGCTGTTCGCTTGTAACAAACCCTATAACAAGTAGTTAAACTGATAGCGAACAGCATGGATCCTGATCAGACTGCACATTATGTTGGTTTTGTCATGACGCGGCTCAAATACAGATACTGTATGCCCTCTGATTTCACTGCACAGATTACAGAGGTTTTTAAACCTGGCTATGAACAAAACAGCTGATTTTTATTTCAATTCGCAACTAGGCTTATTAAAAACTTTAGGCATCAATTATTCCTTCACAATTTCACAAACATGGAAGAAACATATGGGATAATATTAACAGTCTTTACCTTGGTTTGGATTTTGGTCCACATAAAACACTCGTTACAAAATTTTTGAATATGAGACCATTGACTGGTAAGGATTAAAATTTTTTCTTGATTTTCTTTTAGATGAAAATGGCCTTTTATTCTGAAACAAATAAGACAGAGAGACATCCCAAGGTACAGTAACCTCAAAATTAAAATTTTTTTCCCCCCCTTTTTTTTATTTTTCCCTTCCTCTAAACATTGAAATACAAATTGTCTGGTTAAAAAATACTCCTTTAAAGAAAGGTTAACAAATCACTGTCAGTAGGTTTGTATAAAAATATATTTTTGTACTTTTTTTTAGAAACAGATATATATTCTAGGTTTTATTACATCAAAACTAAAAACAATCATCTTGGGGAAATAACTGTTACAGTAAAATAAACAGTAACAAATATTTCAGTTTAATAAAAATTTGTCCAGTTAATAATCTTAAGAGATTGTAGGAAAATTCCAAAATTAATTCAAATAATCGCCATGGGTAATATTAGATAGCAAAGTTTTTCTCCTATTATCTTAACTAGGCTTTTCCCTGAAAGGGTTTTTCTCCTCAATAAACCTTAGAATAATAATATATATCAAAAATTCACAACCAAAAATAATTACAAAATTAGAAAAAAAGAATTTAAGCCATGGTTGTTTTTCATTACATCACTATTGTCTTCTAGATAAATTCAAATGACCTTCTAGAAAATTGTAAAACCAAACTTATGAAGATCAAATATCAATTTATTTATGAGATTGTATTTATAAATTGAAGAACTGATATGAGATGAAATTCAACTTTAATGGTGCCTTTTGCTTGAAGAGAAAGTTCTATACATTGTATTTAAAGAAATGTTTAAAGGCATCATATTACAATAATATGCAACCAAATCATTTGCCTATGTTCACCAGTAATGTTGCCAAATCAATCTTCAAGATCTGCCACTTTTTCTCTTTAACAATTGATAACTTAAATTTTAAAGGAAATTAAACCCCCAGGAACCAAGTTGATAAGCATCTGCCACCAGTATAAAAGCAGGTCTGCCTGTAACTGTCCTGCAAGTCTGATCAGGCTCTATACTGTAAAAAGCTCAACTTTATATTAAAATTTTTGATTTCAAAATACCATAAATTTTTAACGGACTTTTCCTAATTCAAATCTAGGCAAGTTCTTTACACAAACTAAGAAAGTTAAATGTTTTAAGCATTACGTATTGAAATCTGCCAAAAAAAATATATAAAGTTCAAAAAAAGGAAATCTAAAGCATGACAAAGTTTGAAGTGCCAATTCATAAGTTTCAATAAAAATTGTGATTTTAACCAAAAAATCTTTTACATTAGGTATATAAAGATGGCATTTTATTCTTACTGTTAATTGTACCATACTATTCACTTATGTTATTTGTTTATTTAAAGACTATTTTGATGCAATAATAAATTCTACATATGACATAAATGCTCAATAATATATGAAAACATACAAATATAAACAACAAAAATTAAAGTTGGAGATGCTTGGGTAGCAGTAAACTAGACTTTCAGGCTATACAATTAAACAAAAATAGTCAATTGCTTAATTATTTATTTCTAGAATCATCAACCTGGCTTTTTTGCAAAGAAAGACTGCACTCAAAATCAGACAAAAACCACCACCAATGATACCAAAATAGGAAGTATAGATTCATGGTACATTTCATTATACTGAGAACAAGAATAGAACAAGTAACAAATTGATAAATGCCAAATGGACCAAAAATCTTTCCAACAAAATGCCATTTAACCAAACACACTCAAACTATGGCTGTTAAAACTGTTTCTTTATTTGATTGGAAATTTTTCAACCCTTCAAATGGCTAAGAAGCCAAAATAATAGATGTGTGATTACAGTAAGGAAGCCAAAAGAATTAACCTGTGGCTGAATCAGAACTTTTTTTTCAGACTTCAAACATGTTTTTATACAAAGGCACCTAAGGTTGAATGTTACAAAATATGGTTAAATTTTAACTCTAAATTTTTTTTAATGAATTATTACACTTTTTTTAAATTTTTAGAACAACCCACTCATTTTTAAATATTAAAAATAAAAAACATTAAACAAACCATTTTGAAATAAAAGCCGGTAAAAATACTTTGGGGGTTTCCAGAAAAAGTCTGGAAATATAAACGGGGTTTTTAAAGGGGCTTATTATTTTTTATGCCCAACTAGGATAAGGGTTAAGAGCTAAATATTTTTTAAAATTAAAAATTTTAAAAATTTTCTTGAAAATTTTTCGGGTACTTTGGTATTTTATTTAGTAAAAGGGTTTTTTTGCCCATATTGAAATTTCAAAATTGCACTAATTGCATTTCACTCACTTTCCAAATAAAAAAAAACGGGTTAAAAAAATGGTTTCTTTTTAAAAAACCAACAAAAAGCTGTCTGGTGGGACAGCCATGCTTGGAATATTTCTTCAGTTTCTTGACAGTAAAAACAAGAGCCTGGGATAATGTAAGAATTTTCCAAAGGGTTCAAAATGGGCAATAAATTACTGTCAAAAAATTCCATGTTAATAGTTATGGGGGCCTTGGACAGTGACCTCTGATTATGCTCTCAAAGGTGTTATGAAGTTTACCACCCATTTACCTTCAGAAGTTTTGGAGATAAAAATTGCATGTAAAAACCTAAACCAAAAAGTGTTGATGCTGAAATTGCCGATGTCGAAAAACCCACCCCAGGGGGGAACCTTGGGGGCCCACCTGGCTGAGTACAACTTGTTCTCCCTATTTCTTCAAACAGTCAAGCTTTAAAATTTTTTTGGCAATGAAAAATTATTCTAAATCTGAGAAATAAAACACTTATCTAAGCAACTAAATTTCTACCTGCTCAATTTTGCAGATTTTGTGTATATTGCGAGGGAAAAAATAACAATTTCCACTCTCCCTTGGCCGGGAACACTGATTTTTGATGGATTACGATTATTAAAATTAAAAATTCTCCGGGGAAAAAAACGGGGACATGTTTCTGATGAGGGTCGGGAAATTTGTAACAATCAAGAAAATAAAATGTTCTATTTTAAACTTTGGGTTGTTTTGTATGTTTTTTAAAGGTTTAGAAATAATTTTTTAAAAAATTTAACCCCTGCTTTTTTTATCAAAAAGCAGAAAACTAAACATAATTTTTTTTTCAGATTCAGCAAAATTTTCCCTCCCTTTGGGGTTTTAATAACAAATAAAATTTAATTTTTAAAAAGATGAACTACCCCATGGAAGATAAATGGCCTCCCAGATGACTGTTTATCACTGTAAAACTAAAAGGCTTGAACATCTCATAATTCTGATGTTCATTTTTGAAAATACAGTACAACCAACTCTTTGTTTTTCAAAGTAATTAGGTACATTTTTTGTCGGGAAAACAGTCCTTTGCCTTTGTTTTAGTATAAAATAAATCTTTAAATAAGGGAAATAATTTATGCCCTTGGGTTTAAAAATTTTTTCTTCATAAACTTGAAAGGGGTAACCCAAAGTCTAAAAAAAGTAATAATGACCAAATCATAACACAAATACAAAACCAGCCCTGCCTACAAAACCATGTTTGGCTTTGGGAGAATTAAAAACTTACTTTTTTAATATTTTATTTGAATACTTTTTAAATTTTTCAAATTACCCCATAAAAAAGTTCAAAAAATTTAAAACTTTTAAAAAGAAAAATTTTCACAAATTCAGTAGGCAAAGTTTAATACTGCCATTTTTTAAAAATTTTTTTTCCTAAAAAAGTAAGCCAAAAGCAAAAAATTTTAAGACAAAATTTCCCTTTTTTAATAATTTAGCTAATAACTGGGGCTTTAAAAAACCACAAAAATTTCTAAAATTTAAAATTCTGGGGGTATTTGTTTTTTTAGGAAAGTATATGTTTCTTGGGAATATTTCCCCCTTTTTTGAGAGACAATTTAAAGTTACATGTGTATTATTTTTCAAATTTTAAAAATTTCATTTAATTTTATTTTTTTTATTTTTTGGGTTATCTTTTTTTATCAATTTTTCCCCTGGCCTTTTTTGTGACTAAAAGGAAAAGTTTTATAGGAATGTTCAATTTTTAATTTTATTCATTATTCAGTACCCCTTAGAAATAATTATTTTAGTTACATTTTAACAAGGGAAACAAAAAACTATGTACTTCTGTAATGAAACAATGGTCCTTGGTTCATAAAAGTGCAATATAACTTTGTGGTAAACAATGTGTCATACCAAAATAATTTGGTGACTTGTTTCGACTACCAAGGCCACATTAATAAATTAAGCTAAGGGTAATAATGAAAAGAAATATGTTAATATTATTTAAACATAATTAAACAATTAATGACTTTATAATAAAGACGCTTT